TAACCGCGATTTCCGATAGAAGCGCCCTCAAACGCTGGCAAGATATTAACAAGTCTAGGCTTAGCAAGAACAGGAAACACACCATTCCGGTAGAAATACTTACCGACGGTCGGTCTAATTGAAATGGTGCCAGCGCGGAAGACAAGCCCACTTTAGTGTGTGTGTGTGTGTGTATGTGTGTGTGAGTGTGTGTGGAAGAGAGGGGAGAATGGGTGGGGGAAGAGGCAAAATGAGGGTACTCCGATTTCAGGTGGTCAGACGTAACAATTGGCCGGTCTTGAGCGGAAGACTGGCTTGTGTGTGTCCAACTGTGGGCTCATGTCTGGGCGCTGGTTTGGAGAAAAGGGAAAGTTATAAAAGTGAGCCGAATTGGTTTTGGGCGAGCAGCGAGCAGCGAGCAGCGAGGATCGTCGGCTTGTGGAGCGAGACGAAAGGGTTGAAGGGAGGCAATGAAACGGGAAAAAAGGCCTGAAAGACTGCATGCTCGACAGGAAATCCGTCCCCAGTCGGCCATGCCATCGGGGAGCGCGGCACATTCTCAACATGTGCTGCTTTGCAACAATTGCAGACGACCGAGTAAACGGTGCAATAGATGGCAACCACAAACCTGATGCGATTACCCCACGGAGACGGGTTGTGGAATTGAAAGTGAAATGGGAAAAAGTGAAAGTGAAAATAAAAGTGAAAGTGAAAGTGAAAGTGAAATTGAGAAATGAGACGGTTTTCACGAGACAGGTTTATTGGCTGTCTGAGCCCTCGGACCAACTCGCAACTGTTGCCACTTCCGCACTGGCCCGGCTTTAGTTGCGCCCGAGGCTGGGCTCGGGAGGAAGAGGAAAAAAGGGGGAAGAGGAGGAGGAGGAGGAGAAGAAGGGGAGTTGAAGAGTAAAAGAGCTGCCGAGAAAAGAAGAGAGCCAGAAAGGCGAGACCAACGCAAGAGGGGATATCATGACAGCCCGCCTGAACAGCCAGAGCACAGTCAGCCAGAGCAATCTTCTGCCTTGGCCCACCCCGTCCGAGTGACATGCCGGTTGGAACAATACCCGCCAGACTCTGGTGAGCAAGCGGTCGACAGTTTGATATGCCCATCGCAACGGCCCATCTGAGATGTGACAGAGAGGTTGCTTCTGCGCTTGTTTGCATCATTGTGTGTGTGTGTGTGTGTGTGTGTGTGGAGGAGAGGAGAGGAGGAGGAGGAGTAGGGGGGCGAGTGGAAAAAGTGAGAGAGAGGGTATGGGAAAAGACTTTTGCCCCTATTTATTCACACAACTTCCTGTCTGACTCTTCACTGCCAAGCCGCTCGTCTGCGGGTCGAAATGTTACTGTTGGACATCATCAAATGTGTACAGATTGGTTGAGTCAAGCGAGGCCGATCGGGCAAAGATGGATCTGCTGTGGGGACGTGTTGGTGGGCTTTCGAGTCGGATTCATTTGAGCGAAGAGCCATTCTGACGCTGTCTCGAGTGGTCTGGATCGGCTACACTTGACCCAGATCAGGTTGCATTCAGCCAACAGATTTGGTTGATTTGGCTTTTTCCACAAAATATATGCAAAGAAAAGTTGGGTTTCAAGGAATTTCTTGTTTCATAATTGTTGAGCTTACTTCCATTTCGAGTGAAAGTGTTGCGTGAAGAGATTGGAAGGTCGGTTAAACCAGAAAAGGACGGCGGATTCGAGGAATCTCTTCTTTCATAATTGTTCGTAATTTGATTATCATGCTTAAAAAACTCATATTTCATTATTCCAAAAATACTTATTTACGGACTTA